ACCAAAATTTGTTTAAACATTCTTCAGCGGCTGGGCATGGAGAATGTCCCCATCTTTTTATATGTCTCTTGTAGGCAGCATATTGCAAAATCCTGTTTTCTAATCCATTCTGCTCTTGACTGGTACATTTAATCCATTTGCATTCAGTGAAATTATCAATACATATGAATTGATTGTTGTCATTTTACTTTGTGTGTGTGTGTGTGTGTGTGTGTGTGTGAGATGCTGGATTCTTTGTTCCACATAATTTTCTATGCTAAGTTCATTTTGTTTGTGGATTGTATTGCCACTTTCATTTCTGCTGTTTTAATGTTTACTAAATCTTTCTGATTTTCCTATTTTCAAATTTTGATGTACAGATGTATTATTTTTCTTTGAGGTGACCCTGTAATTTATTAATTGTTTCCCTGCTTAAAATAATACGTTTTAGCTTGAAATCTACTTGACTTATCATTTGGAAGTTCTGTATCTACACTATTCCCTCTTTTTGCTTTGTAGTTGACTTCATTATACATTGATATCTCTGGTTCCTTATTTTCGGTCTTTTAGGTTTTGTTTTACCTTAAATACTTCTACATCTGGATTGAGTTCTGGGTGGTGTTGTCATGTATGTTAATCTCAGGTTGTTGTTTGTTGTTGGTTCTTGGTCCAAAGAACATCCTTTAAGCATTTTTTGTAAAGTCTGGTCATTACAAATTCCCTGAATTTCTGTTTATCAGGAAATGTACTTATTTTACCATTGTACTGGAGGGACAGCTTTGGTGTGTATATGATTCTTGGTTGGCAGTCTTTTTCTTTCAGAGCTTTGTATATGTCATTTCATTGCCTTCTTTCCTGAATGGTTTCTGCTGAGAAATCAAAGCTTAGTCTTATTGGTTCTCCTTTGTAGGCAACTTTTCATATTTCCTAAGTCACTCTCAGGATTCTTTCACTGCCTTTGATTTTTGAAAGTTTGATTATGATATATCTGGGTGATTTTATTTTGGGGTCAATCTTGCTTGGGGTTCATTCAGCTTCTTGTATGCTTCTCTTCTTTCATAATCGTAAGGAAGTTTTCTTCCAATAAATCTTTGAAAATTTTCTCTGTGCTTGTCTCTTTCTGTTCTGAAATTCTGATAACTCCTAAGTTGCTTCTTTTCATAGTGTTCCACATAACTCTTAGCCTCTTTTTTGGGATTTTTTCATTTTTTTCTGGTTGTTCTTTTAACTTACTAGTATTGGGCGATTTCTCTTCAAGTTCACTAATTTGGGCTTCCATTGCTTTGCATCTACTCCTTTGCCCTTTCACTATATTGTTCATTTCTGAGATGTTAGTATTAATCTTTTGGATTTCTAATGGCAGGTTTTTTGTTGTTTCAAAATTTGTGGGTTTTTGTTGTTGTTATTGTCTGTTTGTTCTTGTAGTATTTTTCTGAATTCTTCTAAAGTTTTTATTGTGTTCTCCTCGCTTTTCTGGATTTTCCTATCATCCTTTGACGATACCTAATTATCATTCTTTTGATCCTTTTTCAGTTAGTTCTGTTAGTTTTTCGTCCTCAGAATTGTTTTCTGGCTCTGCATCTTGGTCATTTGTTTGAGGCGTTCTGTCTTGTTTCTTTGTGTGAGCTAAAATTGTCTGCTTTCTCTGGGGCCACTGTTGGGTTGTCTTATTTGTAGAAACAAACAGTGCCGTTTGGAACCGGAGGGGAGAAATCTCACCTGTAATTCAAGGAGCTCACAATGTAGTTGTGGAAGGGATGTGGCAGCAGAGTTCCTAGTCCTTGAGGCCTAGATGGAGTTCCTATTGGCCTCTGTGTTATTTATGTTCATGACATGCTATCCAAAAGTTGTTTGTGGGGGTCCTTGATGGGGCTGGTTTCAGTGTTTGTTAGGATTACAGGGAAGCTGGAAGCAGGATGACTGGTTAAATGATGAGCGCCTCATTCCTCTTTGGGTTGTGCAGGTCTGGAGCAAAGCCCACTTGAATCCAGGTATCAAAGAAGCACACTAAAGCAGCACAGCCATCTCCCACCTCACAGTGGTGTGGCTCCGAACTCCTGGAAAGCAGGGTCTTTGCTGGGGGTGGATGATCCCATGTAGATGCTGACCACCCATCTGGTCACCAGAGAAGTGAGGGAGAAAAGAAGAAATCACCTTTCAGTCACCCTCGTGAATCTGCTCTGCCAGGCTTCCCTCTGATGCTTTAACTTGGTCCAGTCGCAACTGGCCAGATGTTTACCAGTCAGTCTCCCTCTCTTGCTGTCCCTGCTTGGCCTCCCCTCCCAGAAAGCACTCCATCCACCTCTCTAACCTTTCTTCTGAAATTCTGGTGCCAGCATTGTCATCTGTGTCTGTTTTATTTGTTCTCTCATATGTTTGTTATAGAGGGTCCGGGTAGAGCATCTGCTTAGTCCACCATCTTGCCGGAACTTCACAATGTCTTTCTTAATATACTCCCTTTTTCTCCTTTTCACTTATTTTTGAATATAGACTACTCTATCCAAACCTAGTAGCGTAGTGGTTATGAATCAGGCTGCGAATCTCACGGTCAGCAGTTCGAAACTACCAGCTTCTATGTGGGAGAAGAATGAGGCTTTTTGTTCCCGTAAAGATTTATAGCTTCGGAAACCCTGTACAGGGTTGCTATGGGTCGGAACCGACTCCACGGCACATAACAACAACAACAATCCAAACCTGGTGGTTGCCAACTGATGGACTTTTTTGTTTTTGGCTTTCCTCTCTACCTACTTGGTTGTTGGTAACATTTTATTCCCCCATCTTACGGCCTAGCAGGTTTGGCTCTGGTGGTTCTGCTGAACCAAAATAAATTTACTGGCATTCCAATTTATATTGACCTTACTAGGGTTTCCAAGGCTGTTAAATCTTAACAGAAGCAGACAGCTCCATCATTACTTCATAGTACTTAACAAGATGCTGTCAATAAATTGTTTAATAAATGTTTGTTGAATTACTGAGTATTAATCTCCCCATTGCTAAATTCTTAATTCTTGATTTTGTTGCTAAGTGCTGTTGAGTAGGTTCAGACTTATTGTGACCTTGTATAGGGTTTCTGAGGAGTGGCTGTTGGGTTTGAACTGAAGACCTTGTGGTTAGAGTCTAGCACTTATCCTACAGTGCCACACTAGGACTCCTGTCTTACCTCTGTTGTTAAGTGCCGTTGAGTCAGTTCTGACTCATAATAACCCTTCACAGGGTTTCCAAGGAGTGACTGGTGAATTTGAACCATCGACCTTGTGGCTCATACTGACTTTGCAGTCCAGTGCTTATCCTACAGCACTGCTGTTTTAACTCCGGTGGTTATGTGCCGTGGAGTTGGTTCCGACTCATAGTGACCCTGTACAGGGTTTCTGAAGCTGTAAATCTTTATGGGAGCAGAAAGCCTCATCTTCTCCCACGGAATAGCTGGTAGTTTTGAACTGCTGACCTTAAGGTTTGCAGCCCGATTCCTAACCACTATGCTACCAGAGCTCTAACTCTAATGGCTCTTAATTCTTATCTCAGCTATCTTGCTGCCTTGCTTTAGGCTGTTCTTCAGTCTTTCAAAAGTGTATTGCCTTCCCCAAGATTAGATGGGGATTCTCTAAACTAAGACTCTTCCAGCCACAGTTTCTTCATTTGTAGACTAGAGGATAGTGATAGTACCAAGAGAATTAAATGAAAAAATACATGTGAAACCATGTTGCAATGCACTATGCAAATACTTATTATCTCGATTTCCATCATCTTCTGACCTGGTTAGAAGTCTGTTTCAACCCTCAAGCCCAAATCTCTTCAACAAGATACCCAAATCCTATATAGCTCAGCTTCTTGTTTTCAGTCTCCTCTCCTATTGTTACTGGTGGTCTTTGAGTTGGTACCTCCTCATGGTGACCCTCTACAGGGTTCCGGAAGTGCATTTGGTGGGCTTGAACCAGCGACTTTACTGTTAGCCGTCCAGTGTTTATCCTACACATCAGGACTACTTTCTTCTGACGCCTGTGATAGGTGCTCATTTTGTATTTAACGGCTGTGGTAGCTGTGGAATTAGCAAGGCCTCAGACAAACAGAATGTGAAGCCTACTGCATATTTTTTGCTCAATGTTTGTTTTGCGTAACATGATCCAGACTGCTTTTGTCAGTTCACCTGACATTTTGGAAGTTGCGTATGATTATATTAGGTTTAGTTTGCTTTGTGGAGTCTGGTGTGGTGCTGTAGCATAAGCACTGGACTGCTAACCATAAAGTCAGCCATTCAAACCCAACAGACACTTCATGGAAACCCTCTACAGGGTGACTATGAGTCAGATCTCACTAGAAGGCCCTTAAGAAATTTGCTTTGTGGACAGCTACTTCTTTTATCTTAGTGTTGTTGTTAAATGACTCATAACGACCTTGTATAGGGTTTCCGAAGAGTAGCTGGTGGATTTGAACTACTGACCTTACTAAAGACATAAATTATGTTCATTTAAGTCTTGTACTTCCGAATAACCTAACAAATGCTTGATTTGTGCCCTTTCTGACATCTTGGAGACATATACTTAAGGGACTCCAAAAAGTTCATGGAGAAATTTCAATATGTTTAAATTACATTTTTCTACGAACTTTTTGAAGCCCCCTCGCTCCTATAACCTGAACGCTTGTAAGTTTCGGGGGTCACTGGGGGACAGCTGGAGACCCGCCTGGTGGAGTGCAGGTGAGCGAGCGCGCGGGAACGGAGAGGCGCGCGCCCGGCTCAGGCGCCTGAGCTCCGCGCCGGGGGAACTGGCGGTGTGGCCCGCTGGCCCTGCGTCCGCCGGCCCTGCTGTCCGCTTCCTGGCCTCTAACCCCGCAGACTCCCTCCGCCCCCGCGGGCCCGGCCAGCCGGGCCAGATGACAGAACCGGCTGCTCCGGGGGACGGAGTTTCCGGCGGACTCAGCTGTGTGCCGCTTCCTGTCCCCCAGGTCGTGCCGCCTCACGCTGCTTTCCCGGGACGCGGCTCGGCCCTGCCACCCTTGCCTGCCCGGTAGCGCCCCCCGGCCCCATGCAGTCCCGGCTCCTTCTCCTCCGGGCGCCTGGTGGCCACGGCGGCCCAGCCGCCCGACGCGTACGACTGCTCCTGCGGCAGGTGGTACGGGGCAGGCCGGGCGGCGACGGGCGGCAGCCCGAGGTCAGACTGCTGCACGCCGGGGCAGGGGCCGACACAGGTAACCCTCCGCCCTGCGCTCCGTGCCGGCTTCCGCGCTGCCGCCTCGCTCAGTCAGGGCAGGATCGCTGTGCGGGAAGCTGGAGAGAGCCGTCCTGCCACTAACCTCTGCTGGCTGCTGTGTGACTTGCGGAGAGGCGCTTGCACTCTCTGGGCCTTGAATGCCATTCTGTAACCCGGGGGGCCTGACTTAGTGCCCTTGATCACCTGGAGTAGTGCTTTCTTTTCTCCCTCGCCGCGACTTTTACCCCCAGAGTCCTGACTTGGATTATATTACGCACAGAAGTTTATACAGCTGTCATCGGGAATTGTTGAAAGGTGTACTTGACCTTGTTCCCCGAGTCCTAGGTGCCTGGAAGCCGTGCCGTGCATTGTGGCCGCCAGGGGCGTCCTGGAAGGCTCCACGCCGAAGAACCCAGAGTACAGAGGCTTCCCAAGTTTCACAGTTTACTTTCTTCCTTCAGGTTCACATATTATTAGAGCCGTAAATCGCAGCTTAATTTAGTTAAAAACTCTGAGACCAGGAGGGAAAGGTGACTTGCTCACTAGTGACTACACTAAAATCACATACTCTGGTTTCATTGCTCAGTATATTTTGGCTGCTTTTAGAAATCATTTTGATTGTGTTTTATAGGTTAAAATATGTGTGCTGGGTAAAGGAAGAGATGTCTGTTGTTGTGACTTTTCAATGGTAAAGTGATCCTAGGCAAGATTTTGTCAATGTCACTGTTGCTTAGAATAACAGGTTTTCACTATGAAATTATAGGCACTAATGTTCCTCTTGTCCAACTTCTCCCTCCTTGTTCCAAACCATTTTCCTTGTCAGGAAATGAGTGAGTATAAATCACGTGAATTTCGTTCATTCATTCATTCACTTCTTGAATATATGCCCTTTGCTGTTGAGTTGCGATTTGTCCATTTCTTGATTACTGTGGTGTTTGCTGTGTTTTTTTGTCTGTTGCTCCTTTGCCCCAGAAGGCAGAAGTCAAGGGCAACAATGCAATCTCTGACTTGAATTTTGGGTTGCACTGTTTGGAGTCTACTTCTGCATGCTCTATCAGTGTGAACTTGAGGATAAGTTAGTTTACTTTATGCCGCAGTTTTCTCACCTGTTAGAGGGGGATAAGAATAATATTAGTTTATAGGGTTACTGTGAAGATTTGGTTAGTCTCTGGCACATATTGTTGTTCATTAAAAAACAAACTTAAACCAAACCCACGGCTGTTTCATGGATTCTGACTTATAGAGATCCAATAGGACAGACTAGAACCAACCCATAGGGTTTCCAGGGTTGTAGGAGTTCTGCTGTGGTGCTGCAGGGTAATGTGTTGCATTGCAAAATCAGTTTGAACCTCAGGGTTGGCAGTTCAAGCTCACCAGTTGCTCCTCGGAAACTCTATACAGTATCGTTAAGGGTTGGAATCGACTTGACTATACTCAGTAACAACAGCAACAATCCTTTTTTTCTTCTTAAATGTTTTATTGTGAATTATGTGATAGTTTACATGGGAGAACATTAATTTTACATTCATCCTATTGTATATCGTCTCATTGCCATGGTTACAATCCCCTCCATGCAATCCTTCCCCTATACCCAGGTCTTCAGCACACAGTCCCTCTCCCTCTCTGGATCTAAAGTCTCCAGCTGCTCCATTGCTCCACATCATCATCTCTGGCTCCATTTCAGGCATCACTGCTTCTCTGGGTAGGGTCCCACTCTCTGCTCCTCTCCCTTGATGGTCCTAGGAACCTCCGCTCCTAGACAACAATCTTTATTGAAACAGACTCTAGCATCTTTCTCTTGAGAAGCAGCTAGTGGATTTGAATGGCCAGTCTTTGGGTTATTAGCCAGATGCTTTAACCACAGTGGCACCAGGCTTCCTTAGTGTCTGTTAAAGGGTTATTTTATTCTGTATTTTTAGCTATGTGAGTTATTGTGTTTCCTTGGCTGTAGGAGAAATGAAACCTGTTTCTTTTAGGTTCAGATCTTTCAGCATTATCTGGGTAGTGAGAAGGAACAGAGTTAATTGATGTAAACTTTAAAAAAAGAGAAAAAGAAAAACTGTTCTTTGTTCATGAATAATACATGATGATTGCAAAAAGATTAGAAATGCAAGTGGGTGTGAATTCTTAGGGGGTCCTCCGGTGGTGGAAATGGTTAAGTAGTGCTCAGCTACTAACAAAAGGGTTGACATTTCTACCTTTTGAAAGTTCCAAGTCTTTGAAATGGGATGCTGCTACCTTTCTACTCCAAAAACCACGGAAGTTGCCAGGAGTTGGAATCAACTTGAAGGCACCAGTGTTAGGTTTATTATTTTGGTATTGGTGATGTAAATGTTCTTAAAACTTATAATAATGCCAATCTGGATAACATTAACATCTTAGACTTAATCATTGACTGGAAGGTTCACATCATAAGGAATAAACTATGTTAAGGCTAATTGTTTTGCTATTGCAGAAATAAGGACGGGAAACTCACCAGAGCTCTAACTCAAATAAGAATAGATATGAACCAAGTAACAGAAGACAAGCTCTAGGTTAACCTGAGACAGTGTTGGCCATCAAAATTAGAGTGTCCCATTTTGAATTAGAAGTCAGATACAGGACACAGACATAAGTACAACCACAAATCGCAGTTAATTGTAATGGATTACAGTTTTATGTCGAAAAGATACTCTAAGCTGCATTCATACATGGACTGCTGTCGTTGTTAAGTGCCATCGAGTCAATTCCGACTCATAGCGACCCTATATAAGGTTTCCGAGGAGTGGCTGATGAGTTTGAACCTCCCACATGTGATTCAAACTGACCTTGTGGTCCAGTGCTTATCCTACAGCGCCCCACTAGGACTCCATACTTGTGACTGGTTGTTGTTGTTAAGTGCCGTCAAGTCGGTTCCGACCCATAGCGACCCTGAATAGGGTTTCCAAGGCGGTAAATCTTTACGGGAGCAGAAAGCCTCATCTTACTCCCGCAGAGCAGCTGTTAGTTTCAACTGCCGACCTTACACTTCGCAGCCCGATTTGTAACCACTACGCTACCACTACGCTTCTCTGCATGTAATTGACTTTGTTTCCTCCTTATTTGGAAAAAGAGCAACAAGGTACTTAAACAATAGGCACAAGTTACAAGACTGTTCTATGTTATATGTGCCGTGTGTTTCAGAGGACAGAGGCCCTGCTTCATTGTATTTATGTTCCTTTGGTGCTTTTCAGTTCTTTACACCTAATAAGCATTCATTAGCTTATGCTAAAGTTTATAGAGAAGGAATGGCCGAGGCTAGAATTGCCTTGTTGGCTGCCAGGATAGGACTTTTATTAAGTCATAGCCAGAAGGAAGAAAGGGTCTTTTTAAAGTACAATGTTTTCATAGATGGAGCCAAGCCAGTTTGTTACAGATTCTGACATGTTGTTGTTGTGCCATCGAGTTGGTTCCAACTCATAGTGACCCTGTATAGGGTTTCTGAGGAGTGACTGGTGGGTTTGAACCACTGATCTTTTGGTTAATAGTCCAGTGCTTATCCTACAGCACCACACCATGACTCAGATATTTGTTGTTGTTAAGTGCCATAGAATCGGTTCGGACCCATAGTGATATAGGGTTTTCAAGGAGCAGCTGGTAAACTTGAACCGCTGACCTTGCAGTTCAAATGGATTTGTAGTCTGACACATTAACCCACAGCGCCACACCAGGACTCACCATAGGTCATATGATATCTCTTAAAACATAACTCCAGATAAATCCATAATGTCATGTTTAGCCCTATTCCCTACCACTATTATTATTCACTTTTTATCTTTATGATTTGTCTGTGAAATAAATATTTTTATAGAAGTATTTAAAAATAGTTTTTGTGTGAGCAATCCCCGTTCATTATAGAAAATGAAAACATGCTAATTCCCTAAAACATAACCCCCCCCAACTGTGTTCATAATAGTTCATTTTTTTGATGTTGATCCTATCAGATATATCTATAAAATACACAACATCTTTAAAAATGGAATCATGTATGTTTTATGTTTTGTTTTCAGCTATTATTATAAATGTATTAGCATGTTGATATGTACTCTTATACATAATCATTTAAAATAGATATTAGGTTTATTGGTATAATTTATAATTTATTGGACATTTAGTTGTCTCATATTAAATTTATAATGCTATGCAATAAACATCAATATTAAATATATAAACACAGTACGTTTCCTATAGTAGACAGCACAGTAAATAATACTTGCATTTTATATAGGTGTGTGTGTGATCTTTCGATTATATCCTGACTGTGTTTGGGAAGGAAAAATTAGGACCTCTTTCTACAGCTGAGAAATCTGGTATAAAAGAGAAAAGCACTGTACTAGGTACCCAAGTACTGCAGATTTTAGCTCTGTATTTATTTACTAGAGCTTGAACTTGGACCCTGAGGGCATTCAGATCCTATTATGTATAAAAGAATTTAGCAATAAATTCTCAGAACAGTTGTAGCCTAATAAACTACTTAGAAGACCTAAGGACACGCAGATTAACATGGAAATTTCCAAAACCTTTGGTATTTCATAAAAAAATAATCAATGGTGACAATTAGACAAGTGATTCTTAATCGGGAGTGATTTTCTTTCTTCCCCTATGATCCCAAGGCACATTTGTCATTTTCTAGAGATATTTTTTTCATTGTTACACCTGGGAGGGAGGAGATGTTATTCATATTAGTGGGCAGAAACCAGGGGTACTGCTAAACACTCTATAGCACACAGGAAAGCCCCTCAAAAAAAGAATTATGCAGCCAAAATGTCACTGATACGGGTCTTGAGAAACCATGAACATTACCAACTACTTTGTCAAAGCTACAATTCGGTCATTGAATTGTGAGTGCATTTTGTGGAGTTCAGCATCCTAGAAGGTGTGTGCATTAATAGAATCTGTAGTCTTTGATGTGAGAGGGATTAAGAGCATTAAAACCACATTTCACCACCCCCTTCACACACAGAGTAGACAGGCATGGGC